GGTGTAGAGAAGTTAGGATCATCCTGCGCAGATTGAGGAGTTGGTTGTGTGACCCGTGTTGTTTCGAAAGCCGGGCGGAGGAGAATCTACCGGTTTCCTGCACATTCCCGGAGATCTCGTCTTTGATGAGGAAGAGGCATCCTTCTAGCTGACTATGTTTTAAGATATCTTGACCTACCTTCTAGCAAGCAACAACGGAATGTCTTTCATCGCGGAATCACATCATGGCGTTGAACACAACTGCTTACCCCTTTGAGATCCAGCCTTGCACTCGCCAAACGCTCCGATGACTCGGACACTCCGGATCTTGCACCCCATTAAACATGTCCAATCGTTCAACTTGTGTCGTGTGTATAGACCTTGTGACACTCTACCGCCCCTAGACCTGTACCCCACCCATGAAAAAGGGATACACAACACCATAGACAAGCGCCAGCCGTATCTCTTGGTCCCTTTTCCATGTTCTGTTCTCTCATATGCAGTTAATAATCGTGTTCAGAACTCTCGAGCACTCTTTCATATATCCTCGTAAATCAAGAAGGAAGAGTGCTTCACCGGTGCGGTGCGATGTGATGTGATGTGATGTGCTCAAATGTGGTGGTTATGTTATTTAGTGGGTAGAAACCTATTCCCCTTTCCGGCACCCGGGTGTGTCCAGCGTTCAGCTGGACAAGGGTCCTTGTCCTCACTGGCGCGGTTATCGCTTTGGTTGGAGTACCTCGTAGTGCCTATTACTAAGAGTGTACTTGTACGAGTGAGTACGCTACTACCGAGCAAGTAAGTATTTGGACCACTCTGTGAACTTTCGCGTAGAAATGCTCGAAACAATTACTGGCACTATAGCCCCCAAGCGAGGGGGGGCCCCGAGCGCAATGCTTATTTGGAAAAAGCAATCACCACGCTTTTATCATTGGCGAATGAAAATCTCTCGGTAAGAATCTAAGCCTTGGACAAGCGATGCTTGGGGGTGCTTGTGTGTTTGTGCGCCATGCAGGAACGAGAAACCACTCAGAACCAGCGATCGAAAGCCTGGATGAGGAGAGCCACGTCATCGCTCGAGGAAATCGGTGGACCAAGTGCGAGGGGGGTGGAGTGCGAGTGCAGTGTGATAAGGCTAGTCAAGTAGGTTGCGGCATTGCCGATGGGTAGGAGTACCTAAGATGTGTGGGAAAAAGGCGTCTCGGGTGTCGCTTTAGTTGTACGGGTAGCTGGAGCTGAAGCAGAAATTGAAGCTGAAGCTGGTTCGATGCCCTTGCCAAAAGGTATAAAAGCTATCGTTCCCTCGCCCATATTTTGGTTTATCTTTCTCAAAGTCAGGTCAACTGTCTCACCAACACATCCCTTTAATCAACTGAAACAAAGGCCGATACCGATACCGATATCCACAACGACAACAACAACAACAACAACAACGACAATGGACAACCTCCTCAAACAAGGCGAGCAATTCCTCGAAAGTCAAATGGGAAACCAAGCAGACGACCAGAGCCAGAATAACCAGTCATCTCAGCCTCAGCAGCAGCAGCAGCAGCAGCAGCAGCAACAGCAAGGCCAACAAGGCCAACAAAACGGCCAAGCCGGCGGCGGCCTGATGAAGAGCATCGAGCAAAACGCCGGGAACTCGTACATCAACCAAGGTAGGTATCCACCTCCGACACACACACGTCGAGATTGTATCAAGAGAGAGAGAGACACAAGGGCTGATTACATATACCGGTGGTGCGTGTGTAGAAGTCAACCAGTTCCTGACCAGTGAGGGGGTTCCCTCGTCCTTGGATGGTGCGATCGACGGCGTCATTGATACCGAGGTCGGGAATCTCGAGAAGAGGTTCTAAATGTCTACCTACGTATGTTAGGTACCTTGGGTCTTAGGCATCAAGGTGTCTAGGGTAGATAGATACCTGGGCATCTGGTGTGGGTGCACCACTTCACCACGTCAAATGTCAAAGTCAAGGTCGCATGAATGATGAATCAGGTTCAGGGGTAAGACAGGATTGAGGGCGGTCAGTCAGTCAGTCAATCGGTCAGTACAATCTTGCACAGGGCTCTCTACAAGCTGCGGTGCCACTAGGGGAATGCGAGGCACTCAACCAGCTTGTATAGCAGAGACATCACGATCCTATAACACGAACACGAAGGAATGCATCAAGGAATGTCCTGTTTTCTATCTCCCCCTAGCCTCTACCGTATCTCACAACGGACAGGTCAATCGGGAGCGAGAGCCTGCCCATGTTTCTTGTCTACAACGAATATGCATCGTCTTGCGCCCCCTTTTCTCTAGAACCAGCTCGTCTCTCCCACACCCTGCCCCATCAGACCCATTTATATCCATGTACCTCTGTCACTCGCAGGGTTCCAATCATGGCGTTCGATGCTTTCGTGTCCTTCACTATTTGCACGAGCCGGCAGCGACGCCGCACTCTCCCGGGCAAGTCCAGAAGCACTATTCATTTTAGAGGACAAGGTCAGTCACTTCACGAATGTCTTTCGGCTCATGTTGTATACACTGCTGGAAAGGACAGAAGTCGAAAGGGATAACACAAGCAGAAGACAGTATGCGTACAGTACCACCACCGCACCAACCAGAGCAGACGGAGCGTTTGAGGAGTTCGGCACCAGCCGCGACAGCAGCGGGAGCAGGTTCAGGAGCGGCGATGGGGTTTGCGGTGACGAAACCCATGAGGGGGATGAGGGCGAGGAGAATGGTTTTGACCTGCATTTTCAGAGGAGTTTTGGCGGCTTTTGCTGCTGGATGTTTTGATCAAGTGGGAGGAAGTTGAGATTCGATGATGATTGTTGTTTGTGGTGAAAATTGATGAGTTTCCTGGAGATATCAAGCCATCTTTATAGTTTCTTCTCCCTCTCTTTCCTTCTCATCCCTTTGACTCTGTCGCCCTTTGCTCGAGGGAATTCTCCCAAGAATTACACATTCAGTTTTTGCCTAAATTCAACCAACTCCTCCGTTTTCGATTAGGAATGAAGCCATGTACCACATACGTCTCCCATCACCAGACTGTCTCTTGAGGAAACATCTGCGAAAGTAAGGTTTTGAGGGATCCAGAAGGATCGCTCGTACAGTTGTGCGTAGCATTGGTAAGGGTCCCCACGGGGGTCTTTGTTGTGGAAACACCCCACAGCTGACGGGGTACGGAGAACAGCATCCATATCAAACCAAAGGACGCGTCAAAATGCTGCTCAACACTCTTTGTTTGGTCTGGACAACGGGAGTTGAGCCAACGGTTGTATCCGTCTGATCTGTCAGTGTTCTGTCTATACCGCAGACCCTGCACTAGGCCGTCGCAGGATGCGGTTCGTTGCGGCCGCAATTGGTCCATCAGGACTTGTTATTGATTCAAACGTGTATCCATGCGTATCTCTCATTACTGGACGTCTTCGTCAGTCTGTAAAGCCAATAGCCAAAATGACTTCGGTGGCTCCACGTCCGCCGCTGCTCGAACTTGATCAGTGCTAGCTCTGACCTACCGTGTTCGAATGAAATATTGCCTGTCTCTGTTGAAACATGTGAGATGGCCATGGATTGTCCATTCTGACCCCTCTATGCACGTCCCAGCACCTGAATATTCCAGCTTGGCTGTTGACCGAAGAGGGCCGAGTCGCGCTGAAGGAGGGAAAAATCACAAGAATCGACGAGAATTGGGCTATTTTGTTTCTTGTCGGCGCATAAGACTTCAGCTTCAGATCTGATTGCCTACCTCACTTTATTGATGGACATAAACCTCGCTGACTTCAGCCTCTCCCCCACACGGGCTTTGATTGACCGGTCAAAGTATGCGGCACATTGTCGGGGACCCGGTTGTCGGACCAGCGTCATGTCTCAGTCAAGACCTCAAAGTCGCATACCCACCGGTGCTCGGTGTCATCTCAACCTGTTGCATCATGTCGTGGTACATCACCTTGGCGGAGACTCCCACGACCAAGGATTGCGCCGAGCGTGACATCAAATGAATTTAGCCGGGGAAAAGACCAGGTTATAGCTGGTATTGCTGTGCGCTGTGATGCCTGATCAGCTGCGGTGGTGAAGACGATTGACATTGTTTCGGTTCTACATCGGTTCTCAGTCGATGGATGCAGGAGTAACGAACGAGGAGGTGCTGATGATGATTTGGTCGAAGGATGCGCAGCCAAGCCTTGATGGCCTTTGCACGCCTAGTCAGTACTGAAGTAATGTGCATGCCTGCCTGCCTGCCGGCCTGCCTAGGAATCCAGGGTACCTAAGTGGCTTGTGGATTTGCGGGTGTCTCCGGGGGATTTTAACTGTAGCTCGCCCCTAGAACGCCTAGTCGAGCCTAATGTGGCGCACCAAACCTTAGCGAGCGGCCGCCCGCGTTCGCTAAAGGCCCCCCAAGTGGCTGGCCTCATGTTGCCTGGTGACCTCGACTTCACGTCTCGGTGGCCCATCTAGGCTGTAGTCTCAGGCGACAGTCAACCCTGCTAGGGATGAAGATCAATCTCTACCCTACTGAAGTACAAAGTGCAACCCGAAGGCACGAGGAAAGGTGTTTGGAGTGATTACCACCCGACAGATGTCCGCTACCACACGGGTTCTTTTGCATAACCTACCAACCTACCTACGAGATACTTGAAACACACAGGCAAAATGCCTTGAAAGAAAGTTAAAGCATAGAGACCAAACAAAGACCTACTCGTAAACTCGTCTACTCGTACTCGGTTGTGCTCGCCTATTTCCTTCTGAGTCACTCGCGGGTTCTATCGGAGCTGCAGGCCGCAACCGACCGAGGCTTTCTATCTCTCTCTCTCTGGCCCCGTGGCTATGGCTCCCCCAATGCAGAAGTACGTGGTCCAAAGTATCAGGCACGGAAACGCTTTGCAATAGCCCTGCCTCGTACACCATATCTGATATGCACATGTAACACGCCAACATCGTCGCTTGAGCACGGCTTGCTTGACAAGGTATAACAAAGTCAATAGTCGAGGTCCGCGCCCTCGACACATCTCCACCAATATCACATACCACCACCATGAATGACATGGACAACGACATGGACAACTCCGACACTCTTGTCCTCCCAGACGGGCGAAAACTGGGATACGTACAGTTCGGCTCCCCGACAGGACGTGCCATCTTTTTCCTGCACGGCCACCCCGGATCGCGCCTGGAAGGCGCCCATCTGCACGATCTGGGTTTGAAATTAGGAGCCCGCATCATCTGTGCGGACAGGCCGGGGATTGGATTGAGCTCGCCGCAGCCGGGCAGAACACTCCTCGACCACCCCAAAGATCTCGAACGGCTGGCAGATCATCTGAGGCTGGACAAGTATGGTGTCCTGGTACGTACGCGATCTCTCCCGAGAGAGCTTGAACTTGGAGGCGAGACTAGAAAAACAAGATGATTTATGACCGAGTGTTGATGCTGACTGACATAGGGAGTCTCTGGTGGCGGACCATACGCCCTCGCCTGCGCCTACGCCATGCCCCGCGACAAGCTCAAGTGCGTCTCGATCGTCTGCGGCCTGGGCCCCGTGTACGAGATCGGCATGAAAGGCGCGCGGTGGTTGAACTGGATCGGCTTCACCTTCGGGTACCGGTACACGCCCTACTTCATCAACCGGTGGTTCTGGCAGACGCAGACGATGGGCCGCATGGACCTCAGCGACGAGGAGCGCCTGGCGCGCCACATGAAGGAATTTGCCACGCCGCCCAAGACGCCGGCCGAGCAGAAAGACCACGAGGTTATGAAAGACCCAGTCAATGCCGGGCGGTTCATGCGCGCGTCGCGAGCCACCTTCGCCCAGGGCTACGACACCACCCTCCAGGACGGCCGCCTGCTCAGCTCGCCCCTCGGGTTCCGCATCGAAGATATCCGTCCCGACCTGCCCGTGCAGCTGTGGTATGCGAAGATGGACGTCAACGTGCCGCAGTACCACGGGGAAACGATAGCTCAGCGATTAGGCGGCCAGGCAGTCCTTCGAGTCGAGGACGAGACGCACGCAAGCCTGTTCTTCAACCGCCGCGAAGAGTTCCTCGGAGAACTGGTCAAGAGCATTTAATAAGACTGTCGAGCTCCTGAACTTACGAGGTAGAGTAAGTGGCTCATGTAACATTACGGCGCAGAGCAAATCAAACTCGCAGCTCATTCGGACCAGTAGCTGGAAATCTACCTGGTCAGTGTATAAATAATACATCACACCTCTCCCAGCCGTTCATGGGACATGATAAGCTATCACATAGTCCAAGGAGTAAAGAAATATGCACTGCGGTACGATTAATCCTCATCGACTAGGAGAAGGCCAGAAACTCAAGAAACACCCCGTTTAGGAAGGGGAGTTCTTGAGCGGTGATTGGTGGATCAGGACGACGGATGCCCATTTTCGGGAGATTCAGAGTGGATACTTTGTCGTATATCTCTTATCAAGCACACTGGGAGGGCGTGGTTGATGACTCTGTTGTTGGGCGGATAGATAGAAGAGATATATATATATATATCCATGACTGAGGGATGAGATCTGAATAAAGCATTCGATCACTTCGTCGTCGTTGTCATTCATCCATTCTTTGCCCGATCTCGAGGCCCCGTCCGCGGCATAAAGCACTCTTGAGCGACACCTCGGAAAACCAATTCATTGCCTTGTACATAGTCCACCAGGGCTCGAAGAGGAAGAAAGAAAGAACAAACCATGCACTCCCTCCCCACTTCGACCGAGACGCTCACGCTCCACCTCGCCATCCTGATCTGCGAGGTCCTCCCCCCGCCGGTCTCCCGCCTCCGCGGCCCGTTCGACCAGATCTTCCAGAATTTCTTCGATCGGGGCGCGAAACGGCTCTTGGAGAGAGCTAGGCACGGCGACGAGGTATCGTCCGCACTGGAAGGGCAGATCAAGGTGAGGACAACGCCGTATAACGCGACGGCCGGTCAGTTGCCGGACGCGGAGGCGCTGGAGGGGCTCGATGCGTTGGTCGTCACGGGGAGTTCGGCCGGGGCGTATGAGGATATCGAGTGGGTGAAGAAGCTGGGGGGATTCTTGCAGCGTGAGTGATTGAGAAAGCCAGTCTGAAACGGGGGTCCAGCAAGGAGGGGGGGGAAATCGTCCATCGAAAACCGCTTCGCTGGCCGTCCTATTCCTGGAATCCATCCTCCTCCTCCGCCCTCGTCCAATCTTGCAGAGCCAGAACCAAGAACTGAATTGACACTTGTGGCAGACACGTACCAGCACCACCCCAAGGTGAAGATCTTCGGCACCTGCTTCGGCCACCAGATCATCAACCAGTCTCTGTTCGCCCACACTGGCGGCCTCCACGTCATCAAGAACCCACGAGGCTGGGAACTGGGCGTGTACGAGATCGCCATCAACCCCGACTTCGCGAGCTGCTTCCCGCGCCAGCTCAAGTCTCTGCCCCGGTCGTCGGGCGCGATCCAACTCCAGCTGTCGCACCAGGACACGGTCGTCGTGACCCAGCCCGGGCGGCTACCCGCGGAGTGCGTCGAGGTCGGCGCCACGGCCCTCTGCGGCATGCAGGGCATGTACGTGCCCAACCGGGTCTTGACGCTGCAGGCCCACCCGGAGTTTGATCGCGAGGTCAACGGCGCGTGCATCCGCGAGATCGTGGGTAGCGACTGGCCCATCGAGGAGACGAGGGAGTATCTCCGTCTGACGGACAAGGACGACGACGCCGCGCTGATGGAGGAAGTGGTCATGGAGTTCTTGCTCCAGGGGTCGAAGCCTTAGTCGGACGTCGTACGCATTTGAGATCCCCTTTTTGCCATGGACCCGGTCGTCATCGACGCCCCTGAAGCAGCGGTATTTGTGCTGAAGGGGAGAGGAGGTAACTCTTGATCACTTGCTTGGTCATGGCGTTGGTGGGAGACCACATATGGCAACAGATATGTGCGCATGCCTCTGTTGAAAGCCTTTGCTGCTTTACCCTTGACAATGTGTTTTACGGCCAAACAGTGGTGGTACATACAACAAAACGCGTCTTCAGTCCGCGAACCGGGAAAGGGGAAGGAAGAGGTTGTCTCTTTTTGGAACGAGGCCTCCAGTCCTTGAGAGCCAGCGCCGCTGTGAATGGATCTGCGTGATATGAATTTATCGTTGGCATTCACAACCTACATATGTATGTTTACGCACCATACAGCTAGCTATACGAGCAAGATATCTTGAGACTTGAATACAGCCCAATCAATCTATCTCCTATTCATTCTTCTCAGGGGAGAGAGAAAATCCAAACAGCACTTAAATCTCCATAGTAAATCACAATTGCAACTGATCTCTCGAGTCTTCATGCAAGGGTAAACCCAGTATATCCGTCTTTTCTAACCTGCTCGAGCGTCTTCTTGTACCGTGGAATGCCCCCAGCGTAGTTCAAATGCTCGCGCGGTTTGCCCGGGATATTGGCTCCGTTGTACCACGAGTCGACCTTCCCTCGGGGTGTGTCGCTGATCAGCTCAAAGACCAGTTTTCTCCAGTCTTCCTCGGCGGTCCGCTCGGGGTCGATCTTCTTGAGGCCTCGCTCGCGCATGTCTGCGAGGACCGACGCGATCCAGTCGCCTTGGATCTCGATGCACGAGGGTCCGTTCGAGAAGGCCGTTGGGGCTTGCGGGCCGTATGTACTAAGAAGTCAAAATTGTCAGTCATGTTGGTCCTTTCGAGGCACTGAACGGAGACAACGTCGAAGCAGGCGGCTGAGCAGAGCAGCTCTGTCGAACTCTTCACAGGTTCACCTACAAAAAGAAATTGGGGAAATGGGCAGTTGAAATGCCCAAGTATGTCCAGGTGCCTTTGGCCCATTTATCCGTTAGGATTTCGCCGTTGACGCCCGAGATCTTCATATCCTTCAGTCCACCAGTAATGGAGTCGAAGCCCGTGGCCAGGGCGATGATGTCGAGTTTATGGAACGTCCCGTCCTCCTGGATGATGCCGTCGGCGACGAATTTTTTAATAGGATTGTTTCTAACATCGACCACGTCGACGTTGGGCTAGCGCAAAGGGACAGAAGTCAGCATCGACGGTGACCAGCCATTGAATAGCCTCACACTTGGAGGTACAAGTGAAAATGGGAGGCTAGCTTCATGCACGCCACCGGAGTTCTTACTTTATTGAAGTGGTCATAAAAGTCCTGCTCGAGGGAAAGGCGTTTTCCGCCAAAGAGATGAGGGCGTTCCCACGGCGCAAGCAGCTCCTGCTTTCTCGGATCGCGAACTCGCTCTCGTACACGATCTCGCCAGAATTCGTACGCCTCCTGGTTGGCCTTCGGGTCGCGAGTCATGTCATAGTAATTGTTCATGAGGAAACGGAAACCTCCCTAGCCGTGGAGCGAAAAGAATCAATTAGCATCACCTCTCGTCTTCAGTCAAGAGAATGCCCGTTGCAGAGCAGGAGGAAAGGCAAGAGATTTGAGCGGTCTCACCATCTTCCACAACATCTGATAGAACTCCATTCTCTCCTCCTTTGAATGGTCGAAAGTCAAGTTGTCGCGCCATTGATAGAGAAAGCCATTGTAGTAGTTGTTGCGGTCGGCAAATCTCCCCGCCAGCTCCTCGACGACCTTGGCTTGTTCTTCCTTGGTCAGGTATACCTGATTCATCGGGCACGCTAGATTCGGGGTCCGCTGAAACATTTCCAAGTGTCCGTCTTCGCCGATTTCTCTCGCCCACTATATACAAGTATATGTCAGCCTCATTCTCAATGTCGCTTCCCAGAGAGTAGGGCCAGTGATATCTTGGAACGGGTTGGAGTTCGGGAATGTACTGGCAACGATGACGAACCTCTTGTGTGATTTGCACGCCCGTGGCGCCAGTCCCAATCACAGCCACGCGCTTCCCCTTCACGTCGACGCCCTCCTTGGGCCAGAAACTGGAATGATGGATCACACCCTTGAAATCCTCCAGGCCCTCCCAGTCAGGAAAGTACCGTTTCGCCGCGAAACCGGTACATGCCGTCCAGTATTTGGTCCGGAACGTCAGGCCGTTCTCACATCGGATCGTCCACAGGCACGTCTCGTCGTCCCACACAGCCTCGGTGACTTTGGTGTTGAAGACGCAGTCCTTCTTGACGTGAAGGCAGTTTTCAACGTGTTGAAAGTATTCTCGCAGCTCGGCGTGGTCGGGATAATGCGATGACCAAGTCCAGTCCCGGTATACTTCGGGAATGGACAGCGCATAGACCGGATACTGACTGTCCACTCGGGCGCCTGGATATCGATTCCAGTACCAGATACCGCCAAGATCAGATCCAGCCTTGCGAATCTCCACGTCAGCAAACATTCGTCATAAATGGGCATGGCTCCTGGTCAGTGCCCCGATCACGAAGGCAAATACCTCGACGATTTTGGCCTTGAAGCCCAGTTTCCTCAGTTGATGCAGCAGATAGATTCCCGCGAATCCAGCACCCACGATGACCATATCCAGTATCTCATCGGTGCCATTGACATGGTTCCCATTCTGAACCACTTCGTCTCCAGCCGGTCCATCTGACCCATTGACCGCGGGTGTTGTGTGGCCTATATCTCGCTTTATAGGCATGGCTGCTGAGTTCGCGATGGCTTTACTCGCAACTAGGAAAGAATAGACTATCCAGCCGCAAATGTCACCCAAGAAACTAGTTTACGTGGACCCCTGGAAAACAGATCTTCTTTACACGATACAAGGGTTAATTGAAATGAAGCAAGAGGCAGCCGCGTCTAAAATAGAGGAGCGCGGAGATGGATTGATAGATGACTGTATCCCTCCGGATATTGGCACGAATATCTGGCCGAGAGCGTGCGGAGACCTCGGCCCTCAGGCTGAATCTATGGGGTTTATCGGTTATCATTGATGGGGAGAAGGATCAGAAGGGTACGCGGAACGTCTGAAAGGGTTGTCCAGGACTCACTCGGGCCTATCATGGTCACAGAAAGGTCCAACCATTCCATGAGACCACCCTTCAATCTTCTAGTTGCTTTCGGACTTTGTTCTCCTGCCTCGCGGACCAAAGCATTGTGCCCCTCATGGCCCCCCATTTGCCACAATTGTGTGGAGATATTTTTGGAGTTGCGGATATAGACCACTCGGTTGCGGTTAGCATTGCAGATGTTGTGTACTGGGCGTTGGGATAAGACAACAACTTTTATCATGATTCACCACTTACATGTAGAAGGTAGGTTGCAGGACCCCCAAAGGGATCTTTGTCCTTTGAAGAGTTGAAAGGTACTCGGTCTAACAGACCAGCCGGCTGTTCTTCCCGCATGAAGCGGCCAATCACAAGAAGGATTGTCGACTTCATCCGTCTCAGGGTGACAGCCTTGTCGAAGCAGCCCAAAAGTGCACTCTTGCTGTAGGAACAGTAAACCGTGTCCACTGTATACTTAACTCTGTGTGATGATGATGTGGATGAAGCAAATGTAAAACAACAGGCGGGCAGATCGCTCCTGCTCCGACTCTGGAAATGCGGTGACTACTGCGACCGGCAGTCTGTCTTAGCCGTGTTAGCCGTGAAGATGGCTGGAAGCTTCATCCCGAGAGATTTGTGAGTAAGTCGGTCAATGCCGAAGACTTCAATGTAATCGGGCTCCTGATTTCTCTGCAGCCTTCCAACTGAACCAACACTCACACGGCATCCATACTCCTACGGCGTTTCCAAGTCCTTTTCTTTCTCCTGCACCTGGCTGTTTCTTCATGTCACTTACTGTGGTTCAGAGCCACACTGGCAACAAGGCTTTGATGCGGCAAGAGCTATACAACTTTCCGACCACCCAGTGAAAGCTTGTAGACCGATAGACCTGTCAACCGCAAGTTGGTCGTCGTTCAAGATCGATGCTTCTGGGCCAGCTTTGTCCAAACATTGAGCGCTGGGACATCTATCGATAGCTGTTCCCGCATACCTTGAAGACAATGCTGCCCAGCCAATCTTTCCTCTTTGGCTGCGCACTTGTGGGATCGGATTTGTGCAGAGATCCGACGGAGAGGAGTCCGACGTTAGGGAGCGACTGCGCCTTCAAAGGTATTCTCAACATGGCAAGGAGCTGTGCAGGAAGTACGCGTCGCCTCGGAGAGAATTCATTGTAGAGACTTTATTTGATTTCATCAAGTGACGTCGAACACCCTTTTCACCATTGAATGTCCGGATCCGACATTCTGCAGTGCAATCTTCTGAACGATGTCGTCGGCGCGCTCCCAGAGGAAGATGACAGTCTCGTAAGCTCGGTTTGGGGCGACGAGGGATCCATCCTTGGAATTACACTCTTTAGACCCCTTTCACACCTAGACTTCGGCTTTTCAAAAGTCCGCCCAAATACACAGTCTCGCTGGAGCGGATCAGCCTTGAGTGTGTAGTGAGACATTCATCGTATAATTGCTGTAAGCTAGGTAGTCTGGTACAACTACGATAGAGGTGAATACGGCGAATAAGCGAAGGGGGGGGTGGAAAGAACCGGCGAGATACGTATAAAACGCAGCGATGGGCACTGGCTTAGAGCGGTTCCGTCGGTGCCGTCGACCTACCGGGCTCGATGTTGGGGTTCGAGACAGAGCAGCTGCGAAATAGACAATGTGAGGCCGGCATGGGATGACCATACGGCGCTTCGAGAACACGCATATCTTCACAATTTTTCTGGTCGCGCGAGGCCAAGATGTGTGGAATATTTGGTACAAATGGGAAGAAGTAAAGGAGAAGGCTATGGTGGCCTTGGCATTTGGAGATGCAAGGCTGAATGAAGCTGACGAGGCTGAGGCTACGTATCTCCTCTGTCAATGCTTTCTCAATCAATCGGACATTTCGTTGAACCTCTGCCAACCCTGCCGTGTGCACCACGCCAACCTCAGGGCCACAACTATGCGTTTGCTTTCATTTCTCCCGCAGGCTCTGCTTCTGTGCTCTACGTTAGGCTCATCAGCAGAAGCAGCTGCCACGTGGACATTTGCAGACGCCTCTCTCAGCGTAACCAGCAAAGGGTCCGCAGCTGGGAAGGATGGAGGAGTTAAAGAGAAGTATGTTCTGTTCCATGGCTGTCGACGCCGCTCAGCACTCTAGACGTGCACAGAAGAACTCAATTAGTCGCATGCTAACTGGTTCATGTCGTCCAGACTCACACCCTCTCAACCGCTCTCCAAACCCATTCTGCTCGGCTCTTCCGACACTTTGAAGATTACTCTCACAACGCAAGAAGGAAAAAGTGCCAAAAGACCACACCAGGCGTTTCTGCTGCTGCAAGACCAAGATGGCAAACTCGACGTTTCATATCCTTTCAGTGTAAAGGAGTCTGGGAAAGCGAAGGTTGATTTGGTGCGTCTCAGTTCCTATCAGAGCAAGGGAAAGACACGAACGGGGATACTCATGCGCGAATTGAATTCTGGGACCGGGTCTATCTGGGCTGCTCTGGCTATGGGAAAGAAGACTAGACTAACGGTTGTTGCGTGGACAGACACAAAAGGATCTCCCCGTACAATTCCTCACTTCATCAAACAATACGTCGGGCCTCAGCGCATCCATTGTCATCGCCTCGTTCAGCACCACTCCCGGCTACAATTCCCCAGCCTTCACACTCCAAGTCAAGACAGACCCAAACACTCCCGCACCACCGGCAGAGAGACCACTCCGATACGGAAAGCTTCCAGAAATCCACCACATTTTCCGTTCTGACCCTAGGTCTCCGCCCAAGATCATCAGTCTGGTGTTTTTGGCTGCTGTGGTGGGAACACTGCCGTTGTTGGCGGGTGCTGTACGTTGCCCTTGCCTCCCCCTCTGTCTCACACCTTCACGGCCCCCTATCCCATGTTTAGCCTGCCTGTACCTCATTCACTCCTACCCTTTTCCCCGCGCACGTATCTACTAGGGATGGACCATCACTAACCTCTTGCCCCCTGTACGAATCAACAGTGGCTCGCCCTTGGATTAAACCTATCTTCCTTACCCAAAGCATTCTCCGCTTCGCCGCTCTCGCACGCCTGCTTCCTGTCTTCGCTTGTCGGGATCGAGGTCGTCTTCTTCCTATACTACACGACCTGGAATCTATTCCAGACACTTCCCGTCCTGAGCGTGCTGGGCATTACGGCGTTTTTGAGCGGCAGTCGCGCTCTGACAGAGGTCCAGGAGCGGCGGTTGGCTGGGACAAGATAAAACGGAACGGTGGGACGAGAAGAGACAAGGCGCCGAATCTGCACACACACACACACGAAGCGTATAGCCATGGACCACCACTTCCCCGCCGGGGTAAACCGGGGTCCGGGGCATTCCCATCCTATACACTGGTACTGGGTGAATGAAATCCGAGACGGACAGGGTTGTGACAAAAGAGAAGAAAAGTGGAAATGTTACCCAGATTACATAGGTACGAAAGGGGCCGGGGGAACAAAAGCCGGCGCCAGGATAGACAATTCAATCAAATCAATCAATCGAATCACCAAACAAGAGACCGAACAAGAGACCAAACCAGAACAGAAAGACGGTTCTTTTGCATCCTTGACACCTTGCCTCCCTGACCCCGTGCCGTTCTGGCACCAAACTCCAGGTTTCCCCGATTTGGGGTACATGCATGCATGCATGCATGCCATTTGATCTGGTCTGGCACAATTAACCACCTCTACCGAACACTTTATGTACGTGTACGTGTACGTGTCACTTGTAGGGCGACATGCATGGCTTCCCTGATCTGCTCTGCTGTGCTCTGCTCGGTAAAGCCGAGTGGCCGCCTCCCTCTTTCCCCCTCTTCTTAAAAGACCCGACCGAGTCGACAGCGCTCAATTAGGGACACAATCTCTGTTCTATACTACAAGGCTAGACTATGTGAAATCTGGCGGTCCCAAGAATACCAAACATATTTGTCGAATGTTAACCATTCATGCTGTTGAATCCTGCCATGACAATCCTTACTCCTCGAGTAGCAATGCTTGCATAATCCAATGTCATGGCTATCGTAACTCGATCCCGATGTGGTTGATTCAACTCTTGCTTACCATACATCCCGACGCTCGGAACCTCCAATCGTTGAATACCAACGCTCGATACCGTTAACAAATTCTCGACTTTGACGTCTCCCTCTCAAGACCCCGGTGTTGACATGATCTGCCTCGCGATCTTACTGCGTGCGCGGATCTTCTCGCCGTTGAACAGCAGCACCCATGGCACCACCGTCAACAGGGCGGCAATGCCTCCCAGCAAGCTGGCTGCAGGCGGGTAGTCCAGGTTGTTGAACATTTGGTTTGTGAAAAGTGGGAAAATTGCTGCAAAAATATTCCGCATGAAACTCTGGGCTGCCAATGCTGACGATGCATATCGATGGTAGACGTCAGCCAGATAGTTGAAGACGGCGAGGTAAATGACGAAGATGCCCATCTGTGCACATCCAATGGCGAGCACCGGCGATATCCATGGAATGGAAGAATACGTCGTCCATCCAAACCAAAAGAGGCCAATGGGAAGAAGTGCCCCCTCGAGACAAGGGAAATACAGTCTTCCCTCCGGACTGTTGTTGAGTTTTGGCCATCGCTTCTTCGCGAGTCTCTCCTGATAGATGGACAGCAGGGTAGCCAGTACAGAGCCGATCGAA